TGCTCTGAGCATTAAATAAAGTTAAATTCTTTTTACTTTTTAACCCAAAATTTTTATATATCTAAAATAAAATGCAGATAAATGATCAGACTTTGATCTTATTTAAACAACATTTGAAGTTTAGCAGTTTAATTTTTCTGTATTTGTTCTATAAGACATAAATGAAACATTAATGAGTTTTTATGAGTCTCATKTTGAGAAAAATCAAACAGAAACAGAACATTTGTTTCTACAGTTGGTCACAAGTGTTCGTGAGAAAAGAAACAGAGCTGCTGTGGGTTCATCACCACCACCATCATCACCACCACCACCATCACCACCACCACCACCATCACCATCATCATCACCACCACCACCACCATCATCACCACCATCATCATCACCAGCACCACCACCATCACCATCACCACCACCACCATCACCACCACCACCATCACCACCACCACCATCATCATCATCATCATCATCACGACTGTTAGAAACAAATGTTCCAGGAAGCATCTGTGAGAAAAAACCGTCTCAAATCTTCACCTCAGAACGTTATTTAAACAGACTCTGAGTTTAAAGATCAAAAACTGATTCATTTATTAAAGACTTCATCTTAAAGGAGTTCACATCTCCCACCATCGTACATGTCAGAGTGCTGAGGACAACTCTCAGCTACCACCACACCAAACTTCAGCTCATTATCTGTCGGCCATCTTGAATCAGATCGACTCCAAAGGTTCAGGTAAAGTCGTCCAGTGGTTCAGAAGATATTTTGCTAACAGAATATTACACAGCGTCAGGAGATGAAACATCATCGCTCTCCTCCTGCCAGTAAAATAAATCAACGACAAAATGATTGAAATGAGACAAATCTATATTTTCTGTTGGCTGCTGCCTTCATGAGCTGGGCTCAAACCTGYGGCCTCAGGGTTACAGGTCTGCAGCACCGACCGCTGATCCACCCCCGTTTGATTCATCACCTGATTGGTTTTATCAGCTTCACTTTTAGATTTATCAGAAAAATGTTTAATTATCTGARCGAGGAGCTGATCAGTCGATCTGTTCATAAACTAAAGACGTCGTCTCGTTGTCTTCCTCTGAAGACAAACAGGACAAAATGTCCCTGATGCTTCAGCTCGTCTCATTTCAGCTGCTGACGCCCACTGGTTCTGTTACAGACCCACTGGTTCTGTTACAGATCCACTGGTTCTGTTACATTCACTGGTTCTGTTACAGATCCACTGGTTCTGTTACAGATCCACTGGTTCTGTTACATTCACTGGTTCTGTTACAGATCCACTGGTTGTTATAGATCCACTGGTTCTGTTACAGACTCACTGGTTCTGTTACATTCACTGGTTCTGTTACAGATCCACTGGTTCTGTTACAGATCCACTGGTTGTTATAGATCCACTGGTTCTGTTACAGACTCACTGGTTCTGTTAC